GGGGGGGGGGGGGGGGGGGGGGGGGGGGGGGGGGGGAGGTTTGTTGTTAAAGAACAAAAATTTACAGACACACAAATACAGAGGTAAATAAATTGTCTTTAAAGTTTTAGCAAATTGCATTAAATTTGAATTTTTGTTGATTAAAAAAAAGTGAGTTTTTTTTTTTTTTTTCTGAAACTATGTAAAGGTAACTGCTTCTCAAACTTTGATTTTTTCTTTTAATATTTTTATCATTTTGTTTGTTTTCTATTTAATTTTCAAATATTTTACCAGTTCTTCTATTTATTTTTTTTTTTTTTTACTTATACATATTTTCTTCATCAATCTCTATCAATTTGTTGACAGTTGGAAACAGCAGTTATGAACTTCCGATTGAAATATTTGATGTAACACCGGATGCCATGCAAACAGTTCTAAATTTTCTCTATTCCAATCAGTATGCAACAGCATTGGATGTTGATAGCAAATATGTTGTTCATGTTTTATATGCAGGTAATTCTAGAAAAAAAAAAAAAAAAACCACATCAGCAAATTTTCTTTCAACACTGTTTATTTATTTATTGTTTTTCGTGTATTTTCAACACTTATAACCTGTTTTCTGATAAAATACAGAAACAAAGAAAATGTCAAACAAAACTTAAAACAGAACAGCAACAGCAATAGCAACAAAAATTTTTTTTTTTTTGCTTTAAAATAGTTCTAAGCAAAAAAAAAAAAGAGAGAAAAATAAACAAACAAAAGCATAAAAGTTAAGACAAAAAGAAAAGAAGAAAGAAGAAACTGATAAACAGTAAACAAAACATATGTTTTCTATCAAAATTTGGTGATTTATTGCAAAAAAAAAAAAAAAAATTTTGATGAATAGAGTTTGGGAAAGGTGATGAAGAAGAGCAAAGGTGAGAACTGTTCAACGTTTCATCTGTTTATGCGATAATTCAACTATACCTTTCCTTAATCATTTCTTTTCTTTTTTCAACTTTCTATCTTATACTGCTTCTTTTTTTGTTTTTTTTTAACTTGAAAATTTACACATTAATTTATCATAAAATTTGTTGCATAAATATTTTATAATGTTGTTGCTGTTCATTGCCACTTTTTATTTATACATATCAACCTAAGTGTCGAGGAATTATTCGCACTCGACATTTTTTTTTTTTTTTTTACTATATTTCGTTTAAATTCAACAACAATTTAATCGCTGTCTGATGAACAGTTTAATAAGTGTTTTTGCAGCTGCAAAATATGGTATCAAAAATTTACGCTTGGCCTGTCTGTATCATTTGAAGAATATGAACATAAAAAATTGTGTACAAATTTTACGTCAAGCTATGTTCTACAAGGAAGACGTGTTAATCAAAAAATGTCTACAGATTATCGACCAAAATCCTGATGAAGTTTTAAATTCTGAAGGT